GGTACTTAAAAGAATAAATCCAGTAATTAAAATAAGTTAGTCAAATCAACCCAACATATATCAGAATTAAAACCAGTATCATTAAGATTGGGTCTAATTTAAAAGAGTGGCAAAACTGATGTGACTTTATTATTTTTGTCCCTTAAATACTAGGAAAGTGCAGACCACACACATTTTCTGGAGGAGAATATTCCTTCAGCTGATGAAAGAGTAGTAGGACGGCTGACTTCACCTGGGAGATAAGACATAAGACATAAGAATTTATTTGTCATTACACTCGCAAGCGGGTGCAACGAAATGAGGTGCTCTTCCACAAGTAAAACTGGACAACACCATTGAAAGAAAAATAAAATTAAACACAACAGACCATACAATAATCTCTATACAATTTAAAAATGTAAATACCCCATTACTCTCAGCCATTAAATTCCACAAAAATCTTATGACCCTGCATTCAAACTCAAAACTGCACTTGGATAAAAACTGTTCTTAAATCTAGTCGTCCTTGTTCTTAATACCCTGAATCTTCTTCTCGATGGTAATAGTTCAAAGAGCTGATGTCCCGGATGAGAGGAGTCATTCAATATATTAAATATCTTCCTCTTACATCTATTCCTATACCGTTCTTCCAAAGAGGGGAGTGAGCAGCCAATGATGTTTTGGGCCATCTTAATCACCCTCTGAATTGCCTTTTTCTCTGCCACTGTGCAGCTCGAGAACCATACACAGAGACAGTAGGATAATATACTCTCAATTGAACTCCGATAGAAGGTAGTCAGTAGACTCTCAGCCAGTTGTTGTTTCCTAAGAATCCTTAGTAAATACAACCGTTGTTGTGCCTTCTTAATTAAAGCAGCGGTGTTTGCACTCCAGGTCAGGTCATTTGTAATGATGGTCCCGAGATACTTACATTCAACCACCTGTTCCACACGAACTCCCTCTATATACAGTGGCTGAATGTCTGCTCTTTTTTTCCTATAGTCCACTATAACCTCCTTGGTCTTCTTAATGTTAAATAGAAGATTATTATTTTTGCACCAGTGGGATAGCTGTAATACCTCATCCCGATATGCAGACTCATCATCCCCAGAAATAAGTCCTACAAGCGTAGTATCGTCTGCAAATTTTATTATCTTATTGTTGGGATGTTTATTTGTGCAATCAGATGAATAAATGGAGAACAGTAGTGGACTAAGGACACAACCTTGCGGAGTGCCAATGCTAAGTGTCTTGACAGTAGAAATATAATCATTCAGTTTAACTCTTTGTGGACGATTTGTTAAAAAATCCAATATCCATAGACAAATAGAATCTGGAAAATCTAGATCTTTGAGCTTGGCTATTAATCTGTGCAGTATGATGGTATTGAAAGCAGAACTAAAATCTGCGAACAACATTCTTACATAATTCCCCGGTGTTTCCAAATGGGATAAGGCCATGTGAAGCACAGTAATAATTGCATCCTCGGTTGATCTATTTTCTTTGTAAGCAAACTGAAGCCCATCAAAGGAATCAGGAAGGCAGGAGATAATATAATTTCGAACTAGCTTCTCAAATCAACCTTTGGTCTTAAAAATTCACCCGGTCATCTGTTGTGGTGATGTGTAGAGTTTCCTGCTTAAGCAGGGGGTTGGACTAGAAGACCCCCAAGATCCCTTCCAACTCTGTTATTCTATTCTATTCTATTCTATTCTATTCTATTCTATTCTATTCTA